TTAGGGTTTGGAGTTGAGGGTTCAGGCACAAGGCTCTTTGCAACCTGCTTACAAGCCCCGAGATCCGGACCAAGATCAAGATCAACGGCCATGGTGATCCGCAGTTGGATCTTTCTCAAAAAAATGCATGGGATGCTATATTAAAACACCCTAAGCCCTGAACGGAAGCCTTATAAAGAACCTTGAAGGGAGCCACTTTGATAGGAACCTGTACAGGGACGAACCCTTGCAGGAACCCCAAACCGGCCAACCTTCTGTGGCCGGCCTCGTCCATTCACAGCATCCAGTGCCGCGAAGCTGTAGTCCTGATTCCAATGACTGCTCGGCGTGGGGTTTAATTTTCACAAAAATGGCAGAAGCTTCGTGACAAACCCGAAACCGGAGCCTTTACGATAAGGAACCTTGTATAAGGTACTTAGTTAGAAACAGTCTAACCTCAATGTCCCGATACCATTACCGCCTAATTTTCGCATGTGCTGGGCTCTCGGTAACGAGTCCATCGGCGCCGACTACTTTCCTATTTTAAGCTACTAGTGGCTGAACTTGATCTCTTTGCTGAAATATGCTTACTACTTGCTTCCACACGGCACGCTGCTGACAGACAGGGAGTATTTTGCGATACGGCTGGTGTTGGCCATGCATGTAATGGAAGGGGGACCGTCGGATTGCTGGATTTCTTACCGGTAGGGGGGGGTACTAGACGTCCTCGTGTATGGGGGGCTTTAAAAAAAAAGGTCAATCCGGCAAGGTGCTTCCGGTAACACAGAGCTCTGCCTACTGAAGTCCCGGTCGTCCATTGCGATTAACATGGGACTTTCCGAAAATTTGGGTACTTTATTCTGGGGTCCTTGTAATAAGGATCCCATTATTTAGGGAACTATATTAGGGTCCCCTATTTTCGGAAACCCCCACATGTCTATACACATGAGAGGTCAGAACGTATGTACTGTTGTGCTCCAACATGTCTGTGTCTCTGCAAAAGTGCTAAAAGCTGCAGGTGCCCTAAACCCTAAACCCTAAACCCTAAACCCTAAACCCTAAACCCTAAACCCTAAACCCTAAACCCTAAACCCCAGAAGCTGTGGAGTGTCCACTTGAAAGGCTGGGTCCTAGGTGCACCTTGGAGCAGGATTCAGCGTCGTAGGAGGGCTTACAGCGAAGTCTGGCCTAGCTATTAAGGCTCCTTGATGCAACCATATAATATTTTATGTATATATATATATATATATATTATATATGTACATATATATGAAAAGCGTTATCATAGAGCCCTTATAGTGCCCTTATAAGTAGAAACCCCGATACATCCGGGAGAGCCGAGCATCGGTGGCTGCCACGTCCGTGATCCCGGAGAGGTCTAGGCCGGAGCATGCGCCTGTAAACAAGCGGAAAGGACGGTTCCCATCAAGGGATCCTACGAGGGGGGCCTATGAAGGTTTCAGGGTTTGGGGAATATTCACCTGAAAAGGATCCTGGATAATTTCTGACGGGTTTTGCCGGCTGTAAGGTTGTTTTGAAGGTGTGGGTCTGAACTGTTGTTGGTTGGGGTTTGCAAGGTTTTGGGAGAATGCGCGTACAAACATAATCCTCAGTAGCACTGGCAGCATTGAGAGTCGCTTCTAGAAGCAGGTAATGTCATAATCGTTCACTTCCTTTTTTTCAAGAACAATGGCGGCAGCACCAACAGCGTTAATTGATGATAGTATGTACTAGTACTCTTATGAAACGAGCTGAACATTGCAGTAAAGCGCAATGGGAGCTATCAACGATGATAGTGATAAGCACAGCGAGCGTAATAGCAGCAATGAGGCTAGCAGTACCAAGACTAATAGTAGTGTAGACCCCTCAACATAAACCCCAGCTCTTTAAGGGTCCTAACAAACCTGAATCCCGATTAAACCCCCTGCAAGACTTAGGAGATTAATTAATGTGGGGCCCCCTAAACCCTAAACCCTAAACCCTAAACCTATGCTAACCATGCTTCCCCGCCTCCATTGTCGTCTGATCCCCAGCACTCGCCGCCCGCGCTGCTGAGCGCAAGGAAGGCGAAGGCGTTGGCTTTCACCTGGCACCGCCCAACTACTTGAAGGATCATGGGACTTAGTAACTAGGGTTATAAATAAGGTAACTATACTTACAACCCCAACTAGGGTACTTATAACCTTACTTACTAAGTCCCATGATCCCATGATCCTCCAAGTACAGTGTCTGCAACCTAGCTAGGCTTTCAGGCTTCGGGCTCAGGTTAAGAATCTGTCATGGTGAATACACTTCCAGGAAGAGATGTACACACGCAAACCTTCTGCCTTCGGTACTGAGCTGCTGCCTGCGTCACGCAAGTTGAACCCAAAGCCCTAAACCATATTGTTTGCGTCCGAAGATTTTCACCCCACTTTGCAATGACGATTTAGGGTTTCGCGTTCAGGATATAGCATTTAGGGTTAAGGGGTTTGGGATTTCGGGTTTAGGGTTTGGTGATTATGGTTTAGCGATTCGGGCATATGGTTTCGGGTTTCGGGTGAGGGCTTAGGGCTTGAGGCTCCATGACTAGCTTGTAGTATCCAGCCACCTGTCAATGCCTACCGTAACTGTAGAGGCTAAATCCGAACTTCCAAAAATGAACCCTAGACCTAAACCCTAAACCCTAAACCCCTAAACCCCTAAACCCTAAACCCTGAACTCTAAACCCTAAACCCTAAACCCTAAACCCTCCCCGTCCCCACCATACCCGTCGCACCTGCTGCACATTGGAGAAGTCAACCGAGCTGCAGTTGCCACCGAAGCGGCTATCACCCCAACAGGCTCCCTTGCCTGTCAAGGCGTTAGGGTTCGGGCTGCATCTAGCAGGTTCAAACATGAAAGGTGTGTCGAGGGGTTGACGGGTTCTGTGGTTTGGGGCTAAGGTCTTGGGTTTGGGATTTAAATTTAGGGCTGCCCTGCCTGTCAAGGTGTTCACCAAGGTAAAGGCATAGTCGTTCGATGTCACCTGGCGGCCGAACATCCCTAAACACTCATGAGCATGTCGAAGAGGGTCTGTCTGCTACTGCGGGTTTGATTTCCGAAGCTTTCCTAACGTGTTTGCCTCGATGTTGCTGGCAGCGGCCACGCTGAAGACCAAGCTCAAAAGCCACGACATGCACCCTACGGCTCTGCACCTCTACGCCCCGAACTTTCAAGCACCGGAGACCCTTGGATCGAGCGGTGAGCAGTTCTCTGACTGCTCAAGGCTTGAGCATACAAACTGCAGACATGGAAAGGAGGGCTTCGAAGGTGCCGTAATGAGGGGCCTGAATGATTGGACTAAACCCTAAACTCTAAACCCTAAACCGTAAATACTCGTAGCAATTATTCCGACCATAGGGGTTATAATAGAGGGGCCTTTAAAATTGGAATAGGGTTTGGGGGTATATTATACTGGTAAATTATCATAAGGAACCCCCCAAACCCGATTCTAATTGTTTAGGCCCCTATATTAAGGTTTGAGGGTCCAGCAAACCCTAGACGTTCAGCCAACCCTAAACCTCAGACGCTAACGCTCTGTACAGAGGCTTAATGTAGGGGCCTTAATAAATAGGATAGAATTTTTTTTTTTTTTTTTTTTTTNNTTTTTTTTGGGGGGGGGGGCACTTTATACTATAGTTATCAGAAGGAACCCCAGATTAGTGTTGGTAACTCTCCAGGCTCTCATATTAGGGGTTCTTGTATAAAGTTTGAAGAGTCAGGATTTAAATCAAACTGGGCTTTGCACTTGGGACTGTCTTTACACCCCAAACAGCCCGGCAAATAAGGCATGTGCCGTACCGTCACCGAAAAAAGTGTCTTGTTACGAACTAAGGAAACTATGCCTTCAGTAAAACGACCACATTACTGTGAGAACAAGGAAACTATACCTTCACTAAAACGACCTTCTTACTCTGAACCGAGGAAAACTTATCAATCAAGTTTAATCGGGCTTCTCGGTTCCGATCCTTGAAGGATTTACGACTGCACTCATTCCTTGGATGTTCATGGTCCCTGGCTTTAGGGTTTAGGG